CTCTAACAACCCAGTAATGTGTCGAAGACATCCGTGGATGCTTTGATTATCTCAGATAAAAAAACACAATATTGATATCTAGTTGCTAGTGTGTGGGAAAGCAACGACCTGAAGAAGAATGTAGGGTTGGTGGATCTTTTGAAAGTCAATCTCATATGATGACAGAAAACCCAAAGTGCCGACAAACTCTACTCAATTACCATTGTGGTCAGATGAACTTGTCTTTAAACTTTTGAGTTTTGGAAATCCACACTTGAAAGAGTTGTATTTCTTATCCAGTTCATCAGATTCAGATAGATCGATGCAATTCAGGTTCTGACTACATACTAACATACATGCACCCAATAGATAATGAGCTGTGATTCTTGTGATATCTGTGTAAAGGAATAAAACTAACTGCACCTTACCAACATAATGTCGCCATTGCTTTATCTTAGACTTTGTGCACAGGTACCCCCTCACAGTGATGAGCGACACACGCAAACTCACCCATCTTTGTAAACACCGGCAATCGTGGACCCCCTATTCCTTTGTTTGTACTCCAACTTTTTAGCAACAGCTCTCATTGGTTTTGTACACGAATTTCAATCGTGGACAATCGGTCAATCGTGGACGTATTGTTTGTGCCCTAACTCTTTTGACCTAGGTCCACAGTTGTCAGTGTTTATTATACTCAGGAATACCACTGCTGCCATAAGTCTAGCACTCATGTGAAGACACTAAAGCTGTTGATACGTACATGCCTGGTGCTTATTCAGAACTGTACCTTCTTTGTACTATGTGCACAAACCAGTACAACTACAGTAGTAATTATATGAACAAGATAGCAATTCCAAGTATTAAACTGCACTCCATCAAATCAGCTAGAATGATCTCTCACCAAAAAGGTACATGTACAAAGTAACTTAAGTACCCGGTAGTTGAATTGAAATCAGAGACTTAACGTCATAAACTGACCATTCCGAGTTTGCAGTTTACAGATGTGTATTGGCCTATTAGATGTGGACATTTTACATGGATTTTGCTTTTTTTAATGACTAAGTTTTTTTAATTTATTTATTTATTTATTTAGTTTTACGGACAAACCCAATCTTAAATTGAGCCTAAATACCGGTACAACCCAAGGCACACAAACAGCAAATATACATATTTATTGACTAATTTGTATAAATTTGTTACTTTGGAATTTCGTGAAGGTCAGTGAAATGTACATGTAACTGGGGCTTCTGAAATTTTCCCACTTTGACTTGCACAAAAAGCATGAATCTTTTGGCAGTGACACACTGGCACATACTTCAGCAAACTCTGCCCCGAGCTGAATTTCATCCAATTTCATTAAGAGTGGCATCAACGTACGTGACAATCTCCCCAACACTGTAATCAATCAAAAAAAGCAACACAACACCCCCACCAGAAAAAAACATCACTCCTCAAGCCCTGTCACGCAACTAGATAAAGAACAAATTTCACTCAGGGGAAAAAATCACTATTCTTGTTTTTTTTTTAGTAAAGAGTACGTAAACTGATACCCCTAGCTTGAGGTTGTTTCTTTGCTGCGCTGATTCTTCAGCTAAGAGAGTCCGTTTTTTTGCGTTTTCTTCCCCAAATGGCAGTGAGTAAAGGAAGACTTAGCCGATACATTTGACAAGGTGGGTGATGGAGTACATCTATACAGCTGTCTAGGAGTGAATCAAGGAAATTGCACGCTCAATGGCTCCGCTTCATCTTCATGTAATCTGAAACGGATTTCTACCTTGGCAGAGCTGTGTGTGGTTAGATTGCATGGATAGATGGTGATGTAGAATCTAGTCATGCAAGGAAAACTGTTCAATCACTGCACGTCAGCCACTGTTAAAAGCTGGGCTACAACTTTTTCTCTGATACTTTACTTGCACAGGTACCACTATCAAAGCAAAAGTATTTCTATGGGTGCTAGTAACTTGGTTTTTATGCTGTTAGTTACACATGAAAACTATACGGATGGCTTGGTCTCATAATTGTATTTTGTAGATCCTAGCGACTTTGATAATACTAATAGCTATATGCATATCATGCTAACAACTACTACTATGTAAATGCATATCACTAATATATAATTAAACTCAAATATTGAAATAAATGACCAAATTATAAATTTAAATACAAAAAAGTTTTGCTTTAAATTGTGATATTAATCTTTTCATTCAGGTTGTTTACAAATGTTCTCTTCTTAAATGGACACAAGAACAGCACAGAAATATTAACCCCTTTTTTCTCAAAAGATTATTGCACTGGATCTTGAAGTGTTCAATCCTTGTCTACAATCTTCATTGTTAACGCTTGTACATGTATGTGTAATCGTGATGCTCGCTGTGAGCCTGTGTGAACGATGTCATTAGGTATGGGACCTTGGGGGGGGGGGGTGTTAGGAATTAGGAACTGAAGTATTCTCTATTGCAAGGATATCCAATATCTAACATGTAGGTCAACCTGACGCAAATAGGCCACTTACAGATTTGACACAGCGAGCTAAGCTTCTTCAGCTGCATATAGTACTGCACTGAATATAAGTCCGCTCCTACGGCTTGATATTACACACATTACTGCTGGACATCTAGCCAAGCCATTCGGATACAGCCTTATGCCTAAGCTAATCAGTGCAAATCAAGCAAAAAAAGCAAATAAGATTCAGTCAAAATGTTTCATACATAAACACCGTAGTTTGCTGTTGCTATCAAAATTCACAAGTGGCTTTGAAGTTTGACATCAGTGTTTTATGATGTAGAATTGTTTACCCAAACTGTTTCCACAGGTACTCATTTTTTTTTCTTCAAATGACCATGCCATCATAGCTTAAGGTAAAATTGAATCACTTTCTTTGAAATTGTCACAAAAATGTTTCCGACAATTCCTGAGCACAGGGCAAATACGTTTTTTATTTTAATATTATTTTAATATCATTTTTTTGTGCAGTCCACAGCCAAAAAGCACAACATTTTGAGGGAAAAAAAGCATTACAATTACATTGACATTATAGATTTTGGACTGATGCCCATCATTACTTTGGAAAAAAGGTTGGCCAAGTACACTCAATTAAAAACCAACTTCAAGTGTCACACATACCAATTAGCGTGATAATTGTAGTTTCTTTAACTTTCATTGTTTTTGCTGTTACATTGTTTGTGGTGGTACCGGTACATGTACATGTACATCTGCTTTGCATTCAAGTGTGTGTGAAGTATTCACCAGGCATTAAATATTGTCAACACCATCAATAAAAAAGGTTAGTCAACTCTGTCCTCCATGTTATCACTCCACAAAAAAATAATTAATTAAGAGTTGAAATCTGCAATAACTCTGTTTACATTTTGCGGCTTCAGCTATAAAATATCAACTTCAGTACTTACGATGAATCTTGACTGTACAAAAGTGTACAAATTTCCCAACCCAAGCTTTCCTGACTATTTAGCCTCGAGTCTTGCGCATCTTTTGATACCAAAAACATAACATTCCGACATAGGAAACCATGCAGCGAATAAATTTTCTTTGCTGCGCGCCGTGAAAACTGAATTTACCCATGTGTAGTGTTCATAAAGCAGGATTACCATTTGTGCATATATATGAATAATTAATAAGCTGATAATTCCAAAACCCTTCAACCTACTACAGTGCTGAAATGTATCTGGTATGTTCATATTAAGTTGTTCTATGCATGCACCAAGTTTCATAATTTGTCATCACTCAATGGCCGAGATCCCCCCCCCCCCCATTACATTTTTACTTTTTCTTTAAATATTGTGTGTCTTAACATTTACTTTATTAATTGATGTGAATTATAACAAATTTTGCAAGTGTAAAGTGTAATAACATAAACAAAATAAATACTGTTACAATATGCGATTTGACTAGTTAGACCAGTTAATCTCACTATGCTAGCTGGAACGCACAGCTGACTGATGTGGAGACCATGTGTTAAATTTCTCTCCAAGGATCCCAAATAACTTCAGCAACTTATCTCAACTCCAACATCCACTGGGCTGGCCAATCTTTGTGCATCACTACACTACATCAATCCAGGGACCATTCAACTCAGCCAGGCAAAAGGAAATAATCCACTGACCTGGGGAAAATTAGCTGGCGGGCCTGGCAAGCGGGATGGTCTGACAAGAGATAGGTCAGGGTTGGCTAATTCAAAACTAATCAATGGTCAAGGGAGGGATGGAAATTGACCAGTGAGCACAGCCCAGCTGTGATAAAAGCAACCCGGCCGTAATTAGATCAGTTTGTTTAATGCTTCAATTACTTGCCAACATTTACATATCCAGTTAAAACACTGGACGTTGAAGCTTTCATTTAAGGGTGTCCGCTGATTACTTCACTGATTGTCCTACAGACACTGCAAATTGACACACTCATTAACAGAAGGCAAAGGTGTATTTGTTCCTCCCAGACTTTACTGTGATACAAATTTGCAGATGTAATGGGTGAGTATACAATTACATGAGTTACTATGAGTAGGAAACACTTGGTATGGAGACGGTGTGAGAATCAATCCAATGTGGACTTGTCATAGTCTTCTCAGCACAACGCACCACAGTAGAGCGTTACAAAGACTTTTCCAACCTCCCCTTCCCAGCTTTCCCAAAGACAACCACCTATGCCATTGTTTAATTCAAAAAGGCTTCAATGCAAAATGACAGTAAACTACACGTAATTATTCAACACTACCTGTATAAAGTCAAGGTGACTGTTAAGTTAATGTTTCTGACCTTGTCATAAATCTGAATTTGTAGCCAAAGAGATTAGAGATTTACTGAGGACCATCTTGATCAGTTTTTATTGCAATTGCTGCATTGGAATCTCTTGTCTATAGAGCCCAAGGTCTTCCACAAAATTGACAGCTACGCGGGTACATGCTGGTACATTGTACATATGCTGACAATACACGCAGCCATGGCTCTGGAATATGGCCAATGTCTGGTGCTGGGTGTCAAAAACATGTAACAAATCTTTCCAAAAACAACTAATCGAGGGATTTAAGATCTTACCTTTGATCCAGTTGGAATCCTCTTGAAATAATGATGAAGTGGCTTAGGATGAAGGAGCTCAAACACCAGGCAGAAATGACCGTCAAATGAAAAAGTATTCTGAAAATGGCAGGAAATACATAAGTTCCAAAGTTTAACACAGTTTTTGGTAAGGTAAGGCTGATATGTTGCACATATTCACTTTGCACACAAACAAGTTAGGGTGAAAACTGCATAAGATTTGCAGAGTCAATTTTGCCCATTTCCAATTTTTATTTGTGGAGTAAAAGAGTAATAAATAAAGCAAGAAATTTTGAATCATTTCACACATAATAAAACAATGACCATTACATGATTACAATATTGATGTCCTACATGTACTTCAACTGCATGATAATGACACCATTTTCTACCACTTCTTCCTGGAAATGTACCCTCAGTTCAGATCTTTAATTCAGCAAAAAAGTTACCTTTGTTTTTAAAATTCAAAGGTTGTAATTACAAGTTTACATGTAACATTCAAAAATATGGCTTACTAATTTAAAATATATTTGCATGGGTATACAGTGTACTTCAGTTATTATTTGTTCTTGATATTATGGATAATTCTGCTATAAATTGAGAGAGGGACACATGAGAAAAGCATGAAGAACAGTTACTGTATTTCAACAGTATATAAATTAAATTTGATGATAGCAATCCACTATTCAGACTTAATGAATAGCACCTGTCAAGCTTTCAAATGCCCTTTGTAAATTCACAAAGTTATTAACTTTTCCTGTACATTATGCACTTAAATCGATCGTGCATTATTCAAGTAATAAAACAGGATTAACTACAGGTATGTACATACCAAGGTTAATCACAATAATTCAGCTTCATGGCAGAAAACACATGTTTTTCTTACAGGGTTGGATCTGGTATTAATATTAATATCAGCCGCACGACAATAAAAGAATAATAAACTAATGACTTTGTATATTTTGTATTTTTAATGATAAATTGTTTAAAAGTGCAATACTCAGGTCATTCAGATCCTAAGCATTATTAGTGAATAACACGGGAAAAAGTACTTTCAACCCAAAGAGTCCAAACACAAACATAAAAGCATCAGTACTCCCTCCGAAAACAAAAACCTTCAATGCCATATCTATTGTATGCCATATCTATTGTATGCCATATCTATTGTAAGGTATAGACAGAAGTCAACATAATACAAGCACTAGTGATACGGTAGCTCAACTTATGAATAACGACTTCTACATCTGAATCTATGAAGAGATGGGTCAAATGAATGCTGGCTGTGCACTCAGTGAGACAAGGACTGCAAGACACAATACAAGTCTAAGAGTACATTGTACATGTATGTCTTATAAACTAACGCTCAGAGGAATCTCGGCTGTACTTTCTGGCCGGGGTCAAGTGATTACTGGCCTTTGATGCTTGTCTCTGGGATTGACTTGTTATGACTCTGGGTAAGATCAACGGACTGGACTTCATCTCATAGGATTTCAAATGTTCTCCTGGGTCATTACAAATCTAATCACACCACAGAATATTGTCATTTTTTGAATTTTTGCAGTAAGATACATGGAGGATATTATTATTTGTTTTAAGTAAACTTGTTAGCATGCCACCGCTAACCATTATGTGGGCTTGTATAATATGCATGACACTTGGCAAGACAATTGAATTGCATTGGTACATGTACACTGAACATGTACTGGTACCCCGTATACTGTTAGCAATTCATCTACTGTTCAAACTCATCACTCACAATGATTGATGGTTGGATGGACGCATTCTATTCTGTCTAGCCATCAATTACCGTTTCTCATTCCACAATCATGACAAACCATTACTTTACATGAGTAATTCTCACTATGAGTAATTTTATGTTCACACAAGTAAGCATGTAAGACATGCACTCAGATCAATTAATCAATGTTTTACTATAACTGTGGTTAATATTTTACAATGTACTTAAGCATCTTGAGTCTAACGCTTTCACTCTGAGTGCAACATGAATGCTCAGATTTTTGAAAAATGTATTTTTCTGGTATAATTCATCATTCATCATTTTCTGATGAAAGAACTGACGTATAGGAATACGTATAGTGTCTTAATGTTATGGCGGTGCACGTACATGTAGTCACGAAACAGGCTTTCCAAGCAATAGTAATAGTTACAAAGTATCTATGTTTTGTACTGTATACATGATTCGATACATGATACTTTGTTGCAATTTTATGCTTCTACTCCTTTTAACTGCTATTTAACCATTTTTAATTCCTGTAAAGTGTAAACGTGGTTATATCAGCGACTCTTTTGTGGCTGCCTACCTCGTGTTTTTATTTGAATGAACCAGAATAATAATGATAATAATAATAATATGTATTGTCATCATGTTTCAAGTGTAGTTTGTAACGGACGAAGATCTAGATAATACATGTAGCATCTAGACACAAGATTCAGAAGTGGCCTAAAGTAACTTCATTATGTACATTTGTAGTGTCATGCGATATTATTATTATTATTATTATTTATTCGGCCAAATTACAAGGTACAACAAGCAATCCACAAAAGTAAACAAAACTAAACAAAAACAATCCAATCCAAGCTGGCCAGGATTGACAAAAGTATAATAAAACACTGTGACTCGAAAGCCTGTCAATCCTAACTTGAATGGTACATGTAACATACAAAATATATTTTAAAAATAGGTATAAATATCAATGAAAAATAAGACCACCTTAAAAATAATACTTAAAAAGATAATTAGATTCAAAAGATTAACAGTTACATATATACATGTATGACACACGTGTGCTCTTACCAATACCCTTCCAGTAAGGCAGTAAGTAAGCATACCTACATGAGTTTTCAAATAGTGCTTAGAGTTGCGCATACAGCCAAATGAAGGCATAATGCATGACATATTAGGGAATGCTCATTATTTTCCTTTGCTCTTGTACAAAGTTACAGAACAATAGCTGAATGCAGTTTATATGGAAATGCATGGACTTATATGGCTCAAAAAGATATCAAAAATTTAATAATTGTTTTTTTGTCATTACACAGATCATTAAGATCCATCAACTTCTGAATCCATGCAATTATGACATACATACAATGTACTGTAGGCAGGTGTATAGGCATATTAGCAATCCAATGAGCCATGCTATACCGATTGTCCAGGCTTTTCACAATAACACCCAGCATGCAAAAGGGACAATAGAAGTCACTGATCTTCATAAATGGAGTGCCTCTCACACTATTTTAATATCAAGTGTTGAATTATTTCAAGCATTGAATGCACTTTAGATGGGGTCATATAGCTAGTCACCTGATATGACCCTGCTGATGCTAGGCAGTCGCACAGTCTCACAAATCTTTGGATAACAAAATATAAGTCCTTATAATACTTCTTTTTAAAAGTTCTTAGAATTCCAAACGTTTTTCCAAAATTAATTTTACATCATGATCCTACTGTAATGCCTTTTCCTCTCATTTCATTCAGCAAACTTCATATCAATTCTTTCATTTTAGAATCATTCTGTGATTTCAACGACATTCTTAACTTCTTTCAAGATTTTATTTTAAAATGTTGCAAATAGTTGCATTTGAAGAATCAATAATGAAGTTGAATTTGTTCCTTATAATTAGATGATCAAACTTCAACAAGCTTACCAACAGCCTGACGGTTCCTGAGAAGTCCTGTGGGTCAGCATGATTCAATCTCTCAATGTTGTTACTTTCCTGTCAAATCAAACAAACAAAAAACACCTCTTAAGAAGTTTGAAAATGTCAAGCATTATCAATCAAACATAGTCCAGACTTGAAGCTCTGTACCTTAGACAGATATGGGTAAAAGTAAAATGACATCAGATATTTGTACTTGACCATTGACTTACTGACCCTTTGTGAATTAGTTCTAACTTCAGAGCAAAACAATTACCATACAGGCCTGTACAGTAGCTACATGTAGCCTCTGTCTGATGTTGGGGGTGGGTTGTTTCACAAAAAAGTTTGGTTTTTTTAGTGTTAGACTGTTCCCATGCTTACAATGAAGGACTGGAAATTCAAATTATCAAATGCCACAGTAAGAAGTTCTGTTAGAACACACCATAGAAAAGCATGAGAGAATTTTGACAGCTTTTATTAAGATAAAAAATGGATGACTAAAAACTTGACCCATGTCAGATTTGGAAAACCATCCAACCCTCATCCATCCCTGGCCACTGGCCAGCAAAATATTTAATGAAGCATAACGGCTTCACCCAGGATGAGCCTACATGTATTTTCAATACCACATTGATGAGCACTCAGAAAATGTGATAAATGGTTCTTGATCAGGTTGAGCATACAGGTGTATGGTTTGTCAGACGGCAAGCATGAAATTAATATAAGCATAAACTATCCCCAGGCAAGCATTGCCACCATCGCTGAGTCCTTTCCAACATTAAGCCCTCCTTCTAGCAATGTTCCATGGCACAAAGCAACCACTGAAGCACAACAAATGTCCTGTCAAAACATTGAGTGAAGCCTTCAATCAAATGTTTAATTAACTTCTCCTTTTTGACTGGTGTCTCTTCAAAAATGTTTTAAAAAGAAAGAATATGACTGAGTTCATTGTTTCTGGGTCATGTATGGTGTCAGACAGTGAGGCAGTGAGACGCCATTGGGTTTTCTTGAGGCACAAATGAAAGCTAGACAGATGATTGTCATGATTGCTGAATGCAAGCACACAAAGCATGAGCCGTAATATAGATATCAGCGCTTTGTGTGGACACAGAATGTGATGCTACTTGGAGTGCATGTTTAATATCTTTTGATCATCCAAGTATTGCAAGGGTATACATACATAAGCTTGTCTAAGATTAAATTTTCAAACTTAGGAAAGAAGCTGATTATTCTCCCATGTTGGTTTCTCGTTAATTTGATGTTTTGGTTTTGGTTTTATTGTAATCAACTTACCTGGTATCCTAATGTATAGTATTCCTGATTGAGTACCTTGATGGCTACATGATGACAGTCAGGTCTGAATGTGTCCACAGCTTGTATGAGTGTAGCTGAGCAACCTTTACCAAGAATCCTGATGAAACTATATCGCTTAGCCAGCAGTGGAACTAAGAAGGCAGATAAACAATGATTGATACTAAACACTGATTTCTGACTACAAGAACCACAAGGGATGACATGATTTAGGTTTTATGCATGTCTAGATTTGTTCAGAAGTTTCACAGGTAGACCTGAAGTGTTGAAATGTTGAGTTGAAACATATGGTTTTCAGAGAACAACATAGCGTTAAAAGAGACAATATGTAAGTCTGCATGAGATAACATTTTGTACTTTTTGTGAGGGAAAAACTAGAAAAAGATACTATGAATATGTGATGCCCTACAGCGAAACTGTTTCCAGAAACAGAAAATGGAATCAACTAACGCAAATGATGTTAAAGAACTCAGTCACAACAAACATTGTCAGATTTTGCTAATTTACCCTTCTTTAGGATTGTTTGTTTTTGAAAGTTATTTTATGAAATGAAAAAAATGTATATATTTAGCTAAAAAGAGCCCGGTTTTAAAGTATTATCAAATAATGAAATAGCATCAACACAATGATATCTGTCGAAGACTTGATGCCAGTTTATCCAAATAATAGGGCAATGTCTGACTTGCGTCTGCACAAGTACATTTATGTAGCCAGTCAATCCAGTACAATGGAGCATCCAAATAAACAAACATATGGGTAACAAATAAACAAAGTGAGGAATAAACATACCTTTTTTAGTTGGATTAAATGTGCCATCTTCATCAGTAAAGTATTGTGACTCTGAAAACAAAAGTCATCCCCAAAAATATAAGTTGGCAAAGGGCAAACCCAATATAAACATATCATCCTGACGCAGATCACCCTGACGCAAATTCCATACTTTAAAAAGTTGGTTACTGTGCTTGGGCTGGGGCTGGGGCTGGGGCTGGGGCTGGGGCTGGGGCTGAGGCTGGGGCTGGGGCTGGGGCTGGGGATGGGGCTGGGGATGGGGCTGGGAATGGGGCTGGGGCTGGGGATGGGGCTGGGGATGGGGCTGGGGATGGGGCTGGGGCTGGGGATGGGGATGGGGATGGGGATGGGGATGGGGATGGGGATGGGGATGGGGATGGGGCTGGGGATGGGGCTGGGGCTGGGGATGGGGATGGGGATTGGGATGGGGCTGGGGATGGGGATTGGGATGGGGATGGGGATGGGGATGGGGATGGGGATGGGGCTGGGGATGGGGATTGGGATGGGGATGGGGCTGGGGCTGGGGCTGGGGATGGGGCTGGGGCTGGGGCTGGGGCTTGGGATGGGGCTGGGGATGGGGATTGGGATGGGGATGGGGATGGGGCTGGGGCTGGGGATGGGGCTAGGGATGGGGATGGGGATGGGGCTGGGGATTGGGATTGGGATGGGGCTGGGGATGGGGATGGGGCTGGGGATGGGGCTAGGGATGGGGATGGGGATGGGGCTGGGGATGGGGCTGGGGATGGGTCTGGGGATGGGGCTGGGGATGGGTCTGGGGATGGGGATGGGTCTGGGGATGGGGCTGGGGATGGGGCTGGGGATGGGGCTGGGGATGGGGCTGGGGATGGGGCTGGGGATGGGGATGGGGCTGGGGATGGGGCTAGGGATGGGGATGGGGCTAGGGATGGGGCTGGGGCTGGGGATGGGGCTGGGGATGGGGCTGGGGATGGGGCTGGGGATGGGGATGGGGCTGGGGATGGGGCTGGGGCTGGGGATGGGGCTGGGGATGGGGATGGGGATGGGGATGGGGCTGGGGCTGGGGCTGGGGCTGGGGCTGGGGATGGGGATGGGGATGGGGATGGGGATGGGGATGGGGATGGCAGTGTTCTCCAACTTTGAAAATTAAAGGTAGGCGCTGGGGTCGGTGGGGACTCCTGCGAGCGCGGAGCGCGAAGCCCTTACGGTGTGGGGTCCGGGGCCCGCTTAAGGGCCCCGGGAAAATTTGGATTCTAGATGCTCTGTGGTGCAATCTGAGGCGATTCCAGGCCAGTTTCCCCGATGTTTTTAGCATTCAAAAATTACCTTTTCAACCTAAAGCAGACTTCTCTCAGATCAAATGACACCTTTTTGTAATTTTGAAGAAAAAAAAAGGGATACAAATTACTGTTTTTGTATGCGATTTTATGGGTGGTGCCGGTGCCGTGCGATCGTCATCTTTATTTTCATGTTGCGTTTTGTCGTTGTCATCGTCATTTTCCCCCCAAATTTCCCTCTATTTATGACCTACCTGTTTGTTCTTAATGTCGCCAACTAGTTTGGTAAGTCAAATAAATTAAAAGTGGATTTTGTTCTCTTAGGGAACCGGGCCCATACACGATCGCCATTTATAACTTTTGACAATCGGCATGATCGGAACACCATGTGCACGCGTGTTTTGCCCTCGAGCTTATTCGCCTCGTACAAGAACATCAATGCGTATTATATTGTGTACCGCGCGTGCAAGCACTGAGAAAAAGAAAGTCGGTTGGCTGCACGTAAGATCTGCTGTACGTACTCCTGCTGGTGTGTGTGTGTACTAATACAGATATATATTTTTGCGGCGGGGTTGTCGCTACTTGAAGTATCGGCACACTCCGGAACTGGGGATTCAGTTGTCAGTGTGTGTACATTGTACCTAATAGTACGTACAGTACAGTGCATGGGGAATCGCTGGTGTTTGGCCACGGCCGGCCGCGTGTGATTGATTCAGCGAGATTTTAAGACAACCCCGATCCCGATCGGGCTGGGATGACATCAAAATACATTGTCAATGTGTAGAAAAACAACTGAAATCAAGGATTGTAGTGGTTTTAATAGGCTGATGGATGTTTTTGCAAAAAGGGCACGACGGCCAAGGTAAATATGGGGCAAGGCAAAACTGGCCGTGAAGACGGGGATTTTTTGTGGGGCACCTCGGCCAGTGAGAAGGCAACGACGGCACTGGCCGTCGTGGCCGTCGTTTCAAGCCCTGCAATTTACTGGGAAGCAAACGAAATATTTTATTATATTATAAGGCTATCTACAACTGAAGTTCATGGAATACAACATCCAACAAAAGTTAGCCTTAACCCCAAAGTCTAGGGTTTAAAACATGCTTTAGTCAAAGACTATTAAAAACGATGCCAATGCCCGCTGCAAATTCCGCAAACGTATTTAACAGTAACACGCACGTCGCCTGGCCTGCAATCCAAGCAGTACACGTGTGTACGTATACGTACAGTACGTAGGTCGTGTAGCATTATTTTGCATGGAACAATGGTACATCTTGTTACCAGACGATACCCGAATAATATGATGATAGAGGAGAACGGAATCGTCAGAACCAGACTAAACTGCATCGATCATAGAGAATAGTAAAGTGAGTTATGATCCGCGCGCATCGCAAACTTAGACTAGGTTCAGCGGGAAGTCATTCAATTTTATTCGAAAATGAAGTGGTCATTCTTGTTTCTAAATTCTTTTAGTTGTAAATGTACACTGTAGAGTAAAAAAATTTAAACCTGGCGGCAGGATTTTAAAGCTTGGCGGGGACTTCTTAAACATGGCGGGCGCCGCAGAAAGCATGGCGGGGCGCCAGGTTTGTTCTACATGTTGGAGAACACTGGGATGGGGATGGGGATGGGGATGGGGATGGGGCTGGGGATGGGGATTGGGATGGGGCTGGGGATGGGGATGGGGCTGGGGCTGGGGATGGGGCTAGGGATGGGGATGGGGATGGGGATGGGGCTGGGGCTGGGGCTGGGGCTGGGGCTGGGGCTGGGGCTGGGGATGGGGATGGGGCTGGGGATGGGGATGGGGATGGGGATGGGGCTGGGGCTGGGGATGGGGATGGGGATGGGGATGAGGCTGGGGATGGGGATTGGGATGGGGCTGGGGATGGGGATGGGGATGGGGATGGGGATTGGGATGGGGATGGGGATGGGGCTGGGGATGGGGATGGGGATGGGGATTGGGATGGGGATGGGGCTGGGGATGGGGATTGGGATGGGGATGGGGCTGGGGATGGGGATTGGGATGGGGATGGGGATGGGGATGGGGATGGGGATGGGGATGGGGATGGGGATTGGGATGGGGATGGGGATGGGGATGGGGATTGGGATGGGGATGGGGATGGGGATGGGGATGGGGATGGGGATGGGGATGGGGATTGGGATGGGGATGGGGATGGGGATGGGGATGGGGATTGGGATGGGGATGGGGCTGGGGATGGGGATTGGGATGGGGATGGGGATGGGGCTGGGGATGGGGCTGGGGATGGGGCTGGGGATGGGGCTAGGGATAGGGCTGGGGATGGGCTGGGGATGGGGCTGGGGATGGGGATGGGGATGGGGATGGGGATGGGGCTGGGGATGGGGTTGGGGATGGGGATGGGGATGGGGCTGGGGATGGGATGGGGATGGGGATGGGGATGGGGATGGGGATGGGGATGGGGCTGGGGATGGGGCTGGGGATGGGGATGGGGATGGGGATGAGGCTGGGGCTGGTGATTTGGATGGGGCTGGGGCTGGGGCTGGGGATGGGGATGGGGATGGGGATGGGGCTGGGGCTGGGGCTGGGGCTGGGGCTTGGGATGGGGCTGGGGATGGGGATGGGGATGGGGATGGGGCTGGGGCTGGGGATGGGGCTGGGGATGGGGATGGGGATGGGGATGGGGATGGGGATGGGGATGGGGATGGGGATGGGGATGGGGATGGGGATGGGGATGGGGATGGGGATGGGGATGGGGATGGGGCTTGGGATGGGGATGGGGATGGGGATGGGGATGGGGATGGGGATGGGGATGGGGATGGGGATGGGGATGGGGATGGGGATGGGGATGGGGATAGGGATGGGTGGGGTGGGGTGGGGTGTGGTGGAGTGGGGCGGGGTGGGGTGGGGTGGGGAAGTGCAACACTGAGCAGATGCTGGGGGAGGGAGAGAGAGGAGAAATGTGTCAATTATTCAACTCACCCTCGTCATGCGCACAGTCTTTGTTCAAATCATGAATGGTTTGATAGAGTTTAGCAAGGCCACCCGTCACATAACACACCTGGTGTAAAACTGGAGGCTGGATGCGGGAAAATGTTGAGGATCTGTACACCAATAAGAAAACTGGGTCAGTCAAGTCTGAAATACTGAAAATTATAATATTTCCACCCTCAAATTGCTAGCCTTTTGTACGAGATTAACAGGATGTAACTTTTTTAGTTTCCTATTTTCTATTATCTTATGTACTCATACTCACACCGATAATAGAAAGAGCTTGATTGTACAGGCTACACTAACATGCAATAATTATGAATTCTGAACGGAAAAAAAATCAATACCAAAGATTGGTTTAGCCCGTTTTTGATTTATCCTATTTTAATATTTGAATTAATTCATCGGAAAAACATGTTGCATTCAGATGCCACCATATTGTTTTCTTGTGGGAATTCATGAACCACCATATTTTAGTCAAATCTGAAATGGTCCCACCCAAATTCATAACTCTTTTCAAAAGTAATTAACAACAATGTGTATTATTACCATCAGTACAACTACAAGTACTGGTATAATTACAGAATAATGCATTGCATTCTTTACCACATTTTAAACAGCTTTTTGGAAAACTCAACATGTAAACATTATACACAAATTAGGAAAATCACAATGTATTTCTCATTCATTTTACATCAAGGTCTTGACATAAACTCTTCAAATGTCAGAAAAACAAACGCTTTCCTTTTAACAGTAACACATCCTATAACCAAATAAATTATAATTGTCATGATTGTATGACAGTGGGGAACTGAAACAAAAAGAAAAAGACTCCATTTAAATTTAAATAAAATTTAAATTGTGAAACTTTACTCATTTAATCCATAATGATGATCATGGCGATGGTGTAGTGTAGGGCCCGGTTCCTATAGGGAACAAAATCCACTTTAAAATTATTCAACTTGGGGGTAAAATGACAATAACAGCGCGGCGACAACACGCAACCCAAAAATAAAGATGGCGATCACTGCACGATGTACCATGAGCACGCACGGTGTGCTGAATTGCAAGGCACAAACCGCGCAGGAAAATCGTGATTTCTACCCCAAAAAACTGTTCGAAATTGCAAAATGGATGTCCTTAGAATTGAGGAAAGTCTGCTTTTGATTATAAAGGTGATTTTTGGGCAATAAAAAAACATTTTTGACTCTAGGCCTAATTTGATCAAAACAACACAGGCCAGGGGCCCTACACTACAGTACATGATCGCCATGAACATGATGAATGTATTTTCTGTGTCAGCGACTAATTTGTGGGAAGATTTAACTTAAATGGATTTGCCTCCACGGTATAAAATAGCTCCATGGTTTAACAGCCAGCTATACATCGAGCATTTTACTCCCACACATCACACATGAACATCGCGTATGTTGTGCCCATTCTTGAAAATCACGCATTCTCGAGAATGGGCATGCACATTCTTGAGAATGTGCAACTGGATCCTTGCTCAATCTTGGCAAAAAATAACTCTTCCAGATTGAGCGCACATTCTCGAGAATGCGCGACAAGATAACGGTCTTGTCGATGCCGAGCACCGGCTGCGCTTGGCAAGTCTAGCTGAATCCTCGTTCACTGATTCTCAATAATTATACTGTTGCAACGCAAGGCGCTGAAAAGTAGAGTGGATATGATAAGTAAAGGCGTATTAATATGGGGGGGGGGGACCGGGAAAATATAAGAGACATAATAATACTAGTGCAAAGAATTCTGATTTTTGGGATAATAAAAGCGGGGGGGGGGGGGGGGGGGGGGACGTAAGAATGAAGAATGTGAAGAATGAGAATGAATACTGCGACATCCCATAGTGCTAATGCTATTTCCCATTTAAATTGCCACCAATTTATTGTTCACATCCCACCATAACGTCGCAGAGCTGGATTCTATCTAGTCAAAAGAGCAATTTTGGCAGCTTCTGGCAAGGGCGGATCCAGAACACAATTTTTGGGGGGGGCCAAAAAAAGTTTTGGTGCCCCCAAAAAGTGGGTCAAAAAAATTACGGCGTGGGGTTCGGGGCCCGCTTAAGGGCCCTGAACATTTTTTGGATTCTAGATGCTCTGTGGTGCGATCTGAGGCAATTTCTGACCACTTTAACCAATGTTTTTTTGAGGAAAAGATGGTGGTGTACTCATTGCCTGCCTTTATTGCGATGTCACATAAAAAAAAAAAATTGGTTCGTTTTGGGGGGGGCCATGGCCCCCTTTGGCCCCCCCCCCCCCCCTGGATCCGCCCTTGGCTTCTGGACATCGTTTTTTTTCGTGGCACGCATATGATACATGCAGGGACTTGTAACTTGTCTAGCCTAAACAAAGCACTTCCCAGACTAGTTCCCAGTCCTCCGTTATTACAAAACTTCCCATAGTGGGCAGAAAAAAGCAATAATAACAGGTGTAATTTGATTCAAATTATCGTAGTTATACGAGTACAGAAGCATAGCACATTTTCTTTCCTCTTTATATGAATTGTTTCCCTTTTAACCGCTATACAATTCATTTAACATAATTATGTCGTGCAATGTTTGTTAAGATTGGGCAAAATTCATAAATTGTGCACGTGATATTCCCACCCAATCTTAAAGGGAATATACATCATTTGCTTTTGCTGTACTTTTCAGAAATGGATGGAATTGGGGGGTTGGAAATATATAGCAAATATAGTTACACTAACTTTTTTGAGGTTTTGGGTTCGAAAATGCTATAAAAACCAAGAAAAACAATCATTTTCCTGTAGTCTGGTTCCCTGACTCCATTTAAGAAGAAACAGAGCAGTTTACAGATATTGGGGAATTGTAAGGTCAGGGAACCAGTCTAGCTGGCTTGCACCCGTTCATAGGTGTGTAATCGATTGCAAACAAGTGCGATGGTCAACTGGGGCCAGTATTTGAAAAAAGCCAGTTTTTTCAACGCTGATCGGCCGATCAGCGTTGGAAATTGATACAAAAATACCACTTTTCTTGAAAATGACAGTATACCAGGTGCCATGATTTTACAGGATGCTTTACACTGTCATTCACCAACAGTCCAGCAAGGTATTTCAAAATGATTTGGTAGTTTTATTTTTTGATGTTTGCAAATGTTGTATTTTCCCTTTAAGAATGAGCGCTCATTCTTAAGAACGCGTGCTCGTTCTTAAGAATGGGCGCTCATTCTTAAGAATGCGCGCCCATTCTCGGGAATGTGCATGCCCATTCTCGAGAATGCGTGATTTTCAAGAATGGGCACAACACGTACACGAATCACTGCCCGTGCGTGCAGACCTGCCACACCGTACCGTACACTGATAACGCAGGTTAACGCGCATGCATGCACGTACAGCCGGCCACATCGAATCGTGAATGTCAACAGACCACCAATAATTTCGCCAAAAAAACGGACACACAGGGGTAAATAAATCCTTTCTAAAGTGCCTAAACAACTATCTACTTTAATAAACTCTGTCTCATTGCATACAAGTATATAACAACAACTTACTTGAGAGGAATTCCAAAGGCACTTTTGGTGAATTGCTGCCGTTTCAAAGCACTCCCCGCGACCGCCATTTTTTTTCCCTGTTCGTAGTCACAGACGGCTATTTGATGACTAATGACTTTTTATTCTTGTTTATTCTCCTTTCCAAAAAAATACCCACCTAAACTTACCTTTCAATTACTACGAAAATGTAGCAATTTGCATGAGTGAGTAAACTGTAAAAAATAATAATAAATAAGTATCATTCAATTCACCCCATTCAAAAATGTCACCCCCCCAAAAAAAAGGAAACATGAACTACACGGTGCGCTTAAATGTAAAGGGCATTCAGAGGTCAACTTTGTTTGTAAACACAAGAGCGAGCGGCGGCACGTTTGTGGCAAAATGTATTACATTTCCATTACAATGTATATAATTGGGCAATATTGGCTGTGAATGAAAACGTTTTTTAATAAAATCTTGTAACAATAATAGTACAGTTGTACAAGTACTTCGACAATCCGCAACATTGCTTTTATCGCACGGAGAATTGATCTTTAATAAATTAAGAATGAATTAATAATTTCTGTTTTGGTTTTTTTTTGGTTTTTGCTTTAAAATAAAACAGATGCATGTATCCATTGTTCATGGCGTCATTTTTTACATTTTATTTTAAGGAGAGTGAGTGTGTAATGAAAATAAGTTGCCATTGTATGCTGAAGTCGTCTGTTTTACAGTTTTACAATGGAGGAAGGATTTCCTCCATGGTTTTACAGCCAACTTAAAGCAACATTTTCTAGAGATGTGAATGTGTAATTACGCAGCTCATTTTCAATTTGATTTCTCATGGTTTATCAGTGATGACAACAGTTGAGAAAGCCATGATGTGTTCATGACTCTGCCATTGTCGGCAGTGTGGTGACACACATCGCCATCGGATCGTGAAAATGCAAAGTGAAAATGATTGAAGCATGATTTTCAAGCAGGATAATAATAAACACAAGTTGTGAATAGCGCCACCATCATTGCCATCAAGATTGCGTTTGGTTGGCTCGCGTGCCACGACACACTGCCGAGTTGCCAGCCTTGTGCGTGTACATGCGCACATCATTAGGATTTCGCGTGCCACTGATGGTTGGGCCCAGTGCCAAAAAAAGGAATAAAAATCGTGTCCTGACATGTTTCAACTGCTTACATATTCACTATTTTGATTGGGCACCATTCTATTGGCTGTTGCCTTTGTACAACGTGGACCCATATTTAGCCATGATGCTCCCATGTATGGCCAAGGGTTGACATCATCTCAAATTCTTTTTTATGTTGTTGCCGAAAGCTGCGGCCCATGTCCCAAACAAAGAACTCACAACTTTTTTCCGCGAGAAATTAGTTGGAGAGAGGACAAGTGGACGGACAGGTGGAAACGCGTGCTCTGTCAGCTATTCATGTTCAAACCAATGCGCCTTTCTCTTCGTCACTGGAATCAACAAAATTCCTTCATCTCGTGCATTCCGCTTCGAATGCAGATCGCATTTTGGATTTCGGGGAATTCGAGAGAGACTGCATCGCTCTTGAACAACTCTGCAGTTATTTGTGTGACTTTACACCGCGCTGTTGTAACAAAAATATTAAATACAAAGTTAGTTGCCGTGAAGTTTGGACGTTGGGTGTGCGCCATCTTCCGTGCTGTTTGACAGTTACGAAGTAGACATTGCGTGGGCGGATGACCACATCACTAAAGCTCCGCATCGGAAAGTGAGTATAATAATATTGAATTTATAGCTGCTGCAGCCAGCTGTATGTAGTCTATTCAAACAAGTGTGCGTACGTGTGGGTTCTGTTGTGAGTGAGCAACGTGATAAGGGTAAAGCAGGTATTTAATTTGTGCATCCAAATGATTTCTACTGAAATGGCGATCTTTTTACGTTTGCGGTGTTTTGTGGCGCACCGCGGCTGGCCACGCTCGGATCGCTGTGATTTCGGTGTTGAGTAGTTAGTACGCAAATTAATTTTAGTATTTTTACAGATCAAACATGAAACGGTAAACAAAAACGATGTTTTATGTTTGGCATTCATCAGCTTGTGGCTTATTTTTTATAATAAGAAATGTTGCAGCGTTTCTAGATGAGCAGTTTGCGGTCGGTGGTTACACGTAAGCCTACAGTGGGCGTTTGTTTTCCGTTGCCATCGGCTCAGCTATTCCATCATTTTTTTTTTACAGAAATGAACTCTGGATTTCAATGGAAGCTTTTACTTTTTTAGAAAGTTTTCTTTTTGACTAGCGAAACATGTATTACTAACTGCATCACGGACCAATCAACGATATTGTCACTGCCTTTTTGTGTACGGAAACTGGAAAAAAATGAAGTTGACGATAAAATAAAATTTGTCTCTTTTCTTTTTATTATTTATTCATTTTTTTCGGGCCTGGCTGGGAGATTTTTTATTGTGACAGTATCCAACTTCAGCTGGCATCCTGTGATGTACAGCAGCTTTAATTTTATTGCAGTTTCTAAAAACTTTGTGGGGAAAATAATTTGGTTAGGCCTAGATGCTAGATGTTCCAAAGTCTCAATTGGTAAAAGTTGGTACGCTTGTTGGAATAATTCATTCCAGAACATGTGATAAGATAAATGTTCTAACATTCCCTGATGTTTTCTTTGAATAAGCCATTTAACTTTTTATTTTAAGTGTCGTTTTTTCTTAATGTAAAAAGTTTGTGTGAGTTTTGTGTGCACTCTAAAAAAGAAACATTTTGAATTTGTAGGTTGATAAAAAATGGGTGATTTTTATTAGCTCTATACTTACAGAGTTGGTGTGTTTGCTTTCATAATGATTGTAAACACCTACGTAGGTTTAAATGTTTGTTTGAAGTCTAGAAAGGCTCGGCTGAGGATAAAACCCTGAAAACACTGAACCATGAAACTTGATATTTTACCTTCTGGAAGTACTGAACAAACAAAACTGATTGAAGTGAGATTCGCAGTTGTGATCGCTGCAATGTTGTCTGGGCCCTGTCTTCTTCGGAATCCAACTTTCTAGTATGAGTATTTGGAGTACAGTACTAATATAGTCTAAAGCTATAATAGGGAAAGGATCTCAAATAACAACCCTTTGCAAAGTTTCTAAGTTGCAAAACTGGGATATGACAATTGAGGAGACCGTAAGCCATTTCGCTTGTGGTTCCTTTGTAGGATTAGGCCCTACTGTTTGATAAATGCTGGCTTTAGTACCAGGGGTAGGTACTGTATTGTTAAAAGCTTGATAATTTACAAATAAACCACAATTAAGGTAGTGTTAAACTTTGAAAGTTTAGACCACTGATGAATGGAAAGTAGTGGTCAAATTCAAATGGCAACTTCTATTAATGGAAATTGATATTCTATGCTATATATGTATTTGATACAGTGCGTTACCATGTTTGAGAGCAATAGTTAGGAGATTTTCTTCAATGCATCTGATGCAATTCTGTACCTGGGCACATTCATTAGTTGTGGGATGTAATGACATTTATATGTTTTTGAATCTAATTAACTGATGAAACATGTTAACGTTTGCAGCAATTACACTAAGCCATAAAGCCTTCATATTTCTTCTGGAAAGCTTGTCTGTGACCACACCCATTTGCCACACCCATTTTGGGTAAAAATCCTCACAAAGTGAGTTAATGCCTGCGTGTACATGATTCAATGTCATGATAAGTTTCTTTGTTCAAAGTTGAACAGTTTATATAAATGTGCCTGTACTAACCTAATTAGAAATTGATTTATTTGTTTTCCTGGACATTTGATTAATTTCTGGGTTTTTTTCCCATTACGATAATTCCATTGTGTCTAACAAGAAGATGCTTTTACAGGGTCCTGAACTGAGAATAAGAGATTGTTGTACACAGTTGCTTAGAATTAAATGATTATTTATACAAATGGCTAGCTCTCTACCTTTCTAGCTGTTATGTATATTGAGTAGATGATGACTCATGAGGCTGTGTGTCCATCCAGGGGCCTGAAAACTACAGCCATTGAGCACCGCCCGCCGTGGCCATTATTTGATTTTGTTTGGGTTGTGAACTACGTCAATGGTGAGCTGTCTGGACTATAGGCCCGGCTCTGGAGTTCTCCCCCCCCCCCATCTTGCTGTCTCTCTTATGACAACCAGGTGTATTTGTGATGATGCGGTTGCTAAGCGGCCCCTGGTCCGTTTCAGGTCGGTCCACCAATGCGCAGTAGATTGTGAATTGGTCTTAATCAGCTGATCTGGATAGAACCAATGGTTGTCTGCACGCATGCTGGGCTGTCTTGTCCTTTGAACCTTATTCTGATGACAGAAAATGCCGACGTGCCTCTGTAAGATATTCAATTGTGGTTTCCTTGAAGTTAATTTGTTTTCTTTATCGGTCTGTCTGTTGAAGGCTAACTGAATTACAGAAATCAGTTTTAGTTTAAATTCCAGGTGTATTGATAAAAAAAATTAAAGCATTTGTATCCAGGTACGTGTATTATTGTTGTCAAGTAGTAAGAAATTGTCTATTTTTAGTCAAAAAGGTCGGCCAACCTTCATGAAGCTTTCATGATTTGTCACTTTCTTTGTACTTCAAAAGTTGAGAAAATGATATAAAGCTAGTCGGAAACTCAGACAAATCTAGTTTTATCCAATGATCCCTTTTTGTACAGAAGATAAACATATTTTTGACAGAATCATTTCCTAAAATTACGTACTTCAAGTACTTCACTTTAGTTTAAGCTGCTGGATAATTAAAAGGACATCAGGGTATTTTGTTTTACAACGATGATAAAATAGCATCACAGAATGAGTATTCACAGAAGTTTGCACATACTGCAATAGCTTGCAGATTCTAGCCAAAAATAAATTACTGAAGGAATTGATTTTCTAGGAGCCTATATTCCCTTGTCTGATTTCACTTAGGCATAATAATGTATCGCTTTTCCATTCCATCCTGTAGGGGTTATGTTGAGGTCAAGGCTTTTAGATAAATCATCTTCATATCTTTCGTATTCCCAACTCGTATCCATCATTCATATATCCATCGTTTTATTTCAGACATAGGGTACAGTTTTATCAGTTAAGATTGAAAAGTGCGGCAGTGATATTATGATACGGAAAGACACCGACTCACGCTCAACTTTTATCAGGGAAGTTTTTCTTAATTGTCAAAGTTTTAGAATGAAATTTTGAACTTAAAAAGCAATGGGTTGAATTTGAAATAGATACTATATCAAAATATATTTTCTTTTAAAAAAAGATATTGAAGATATGGAGAATCGACCTTTCTTCACAATCGTTTTCTTTTTATTGAAATTTGCATGATGCAATTTCCTTTTCAAATTGCATCAGCATCAATCTTCATTAATCCAGGCAGCAGAACAAAAATTTGGAACAATTGTTCAACGAGAACTAAGTTTTTGCATCTTAGAGTTATTGACATTGCAAGACGTTTATGTGAAATTCTGTGAATCTATTTACTACAGATGCATGGAATAATTAATATTAAAACACAATACTCCCCTACCTAGAATATCATTAGAATTAAAAAAAAAAATTAAAAAATGATAATTGTTCATGAATACAAATAATATCATGTTGGAATGTTACAACTGCAGATGACATTGTAATGTCATTGCACGCATTCCCTGTTGGCTCATTACACATCCCACTGGGTGTTGTCAAGACGCACGGTGGATACGATGTCAGTTAATGTGTATAGTACATTGTAAGTACACGGGTACGGTTTGATGTACGTGACTGCCGCTGAAAAATCCTGCGCATACATTATAGCAGTACACTACACAGTGCGTGTGTGTGTGTATAGGATGTGTGCGTGATAAGTCCCGTCCATACATTTACTGTGAGAAGATTAGAATAGTTATGCATGTTGCGATGGCAGCGTCGCCGAGCCTCATCACGAACGACCTTGGCCGTTTCGTGCCCCGCAGTTCTGGTGAAGAGATGCTAAATATCGCCCTCTGTTGTCATGATGCTGTCAGTGGATGTGTCAGAGGAAAGATGTTGACATTGTCCGGCTTTTATAATGGCAGACTTGAACTTATGTTGACCTGAGTTGTTGCCTGAAGACATACAAATTATTGATGTCAATTTCCACAATTGTTCAGTCGATATGTCTTTGTTGTCTGAATACTCCTGGCTTGTAAATCGATGGATGTCTTGAATTAACACTTTACTAATTATTTGTTTTTGCATTTCACTGATACTGTCCTTGAACTACTGCCTCCTTTGAATAAACATTTACTTATCATAATGTGTTGTGTGAATACAGCGGAAACGGGAAGGTGCACAGAAAAATAGTTCCAGCGTAATAAACTGTCAATTATTGTGTTATGTTACTGTTAGTATTTACATATTTCTAAAATCTTATTTGAAACCTACAATTATTGTTGTGCCATTTTTGTGGAGCACACACATTTGTTTTATTTCAGTGAAATCCCCCTCAGTACTTGGCATTCTCAGATGTGTTTGGACTACATACTATTATTTCAGTTCTTTCCCCTCTGTGTAGGATAGGCTAATACTTGCAAAATCAAAACAACTCATCCAAACAAGTCAACTACTTTATCTTTTATTAAATTACAATGTACTATGAGATGAACATGTTATTTTTTTTCTGTGCTGCTTATTTATTACTTTGTGCCCAGTATCAATGAGCATGACACTAGAAACTATATTCATATACAGGACACTGAGGATGAAAATGATTAATCTGGAAAATAATTTGATTATCC